CGAGGACTCAGTGTGCGATCCTAGCAGACAGTCGCCCAGGTGAGTCTAGTACACAAGAGGCGCTGGGGCACAATCATAGAGGCGGCCCGGGCCGCGCGCGTGTCCCGGCTCATTGGACGCTCAAGGTCCGAGGACTCAGTGTGCGATCCCAGCAGACAGTCGCCCAGGTGAGTCTAGTATACACAAGAGGCGCTGGGGCACAATTATAGAGGCGGCCCGGGCCGCGCGCGTGTCCCGGCTCATTGGACGGTCAAGGTCCGAGGACTCAGTGTGCGATCCCAGCAGACAGTCGCCCAGGTGAGTCTAGTATAGGTGCACAACACAAGAGGCGCTGGGGCACAATCATAGAGGCGGCCCGGGCCGCGCGCGTGTCCCGGATCATTGAACGCTCGCGCTCCGAGGACTCAGTGTGCGATCGTATACAAGAGGCGCTGGGGCACAGTTATAGAGGCTCTTAGGACGCTCAAGGTCCGCGATCCTAGCAGACAGTCGCCCAGGTAGATAAGGGTCACTAATCCACCAGAAAATTATACATAAAATTCTCAGGTTTAAATGGGAATAGGTACCATTCCATAGGTACATATTGCGAGCGGAGCAAGCTCGTTGTTTCATGTCAAAACTGTAACATTTGTGAGGTTTTTTTCAAACGTTTTGCGAGCGAAGCGAGCCCATTGTTTCACGATTATTTTACGAGTGACACCAAACAACAAAAGTGTGTTGTACACAACAAAAACAAGCTTGTCCTTTCACGTTAAAATAACTGGTTGGAGGCTACAAAAGTGGATTTCAACCTGATCTGTAAAAAAATGCCTTATTTTCCAGTGGCAGTGACCGTTCGGACTCGGGCAGCGACTCCCAGCGCAGCCCCGACCGCGCCGAGCGGGGCGCCAGCGCGGGGCCCGCAGCCCGGGGCTCCACCAGGGGCAGTGGAGCGCTACATCCACTCAACGCGCTCGCCGCCCTCAAGCGGAAGAGGAAGAAGTTCTCCGACTCGAGGAGGGACGCGCAGGAGCGAGCGAGGCAGCAGCCACAGGTTAGTCAATAGTCATTCATAGAGCGGGGCCCGCAGCCCGGGGCTCCACCAGGGGCAGCGGCGCGCTGCATCCACTCAACGCGCTCGCCGCCCTCAAGCGGAAGAGGAAGAAGTTCTCCGACTCGAGGAGGGACGCGCAGGAGCGAGCGAGGCAGCAGCCGCAGGTTAGTCATTACCGCTTTGACAGCCGATGTGGCGCAGTAGTTAGTATGACTGCATGCCACGCAGAATGTTCTGGAACATTGTGAGTGATAAATATCATCTTGATATTTATCACTTTGTGAATTTGTTCCCAGTCTGGTTAGGAAATGGCAGGCTGAACCACCTGATTGTCCGAAAATCAAGATGGTTCCGTGCTTCGGATGGGCACGTTAAGCCGTCGGTCCCGATTGCTGTCTATGATGGCGGTCGTTACACAACCATGTCAGAGGCCTGCTACTTGCAGTAGGCGCTTGAAAAACTCTGACACCAGGGCTCATCGGGTCGTTAAACGACTCGGTGTCCCACACATAGAGAGAGAGACCGCCTCCGTATCATATTGCAAGAGACCAATGATACACGGCACACCGCACGCATCCCATACAATACAACGTCATCTCTACGCGCGTGATGACATGTACGTCACGCATACGGAGGCGGTGTGTGGCGCGCTTCAAAACTGAAACCTGTTGCTACGACCCATTTATAACTCTCTTATTTTTAACACTTTTTCCTTGAGTTGTAAACCACTTTTTCCTTTCTCTAGCTACGACCTACTCCTTACACACACGTTCTTAATATTTCTCCTTTTTTACGATGGGGTTAAAGCTACACCCAACTATTTGGTGGGGATCTCCTTTATTATACGCTAAGCCATTTGCGCATTCTTTCTAAACTTGTAGGGACATATTTCCTCGCTTGATTCTAGACACGAGCATTGACTATACAATTTCCAGGAGGCGCTACAGCGCGCCAGCTCGGTCCCCGCGCGCGCGCCCCCCCACGCCGTGCACGCGCCGCCCCCCTTGCACCCCGCGCCGCCCCCCGCCGTGCCCCTGCAGCCGTCCCCGCCAGGGCCGCCGCAGGAGAGCGGGCAGAGAGGCGGCAGTCGAGAACCGCTGCTGGCTAGCCTTGAGGACGACGGACATAAGGTATTGTATATATTTGACGGACATATTAGTGTCAAGCGCAGGTGTAACGACAGGCTGCACTGCCCCCCTTGCACCCGGCGCCGCCAGAGAATCATCTTTGAAAGATTGATTTCCGAAAACAGCAGTCAATTTTAATGACTAATAAAAAAAATGGGAGGCGTTTCACTTCGGATGACTTCTTTTGGCCCACCTTGTATGTATGATTCAACAAATTCCACCTGTCTTCCAGCAGGAGACCTGCGGGCAATGCGGCTGCGACAGCACCCGAGAGGCCGGCTCTACGGGCAGCTCGAGCGCGGGGAACCGACGCTGCAGCAGGTGCGCTGCGCTCGCCAGGCTGGCCGGCGTCACCCCGCTGCATGGACACGCGCCGCACCACTCCGCGGGCTGGTTATAAGACTAAGTTAATAGGGCTTTAGAGAAAAGAAAAAACCAACAAATAAGCAGAACCATAAAAAATTCGTCTCTACTTCGCCGCCCTGTAGTGCTGCGCTTGCCAGAGACACGCACTACTCTGCGGGATGGTTATAAGACTAAATGATAGGGCTTTAGAGAAAAGAAAAAAACCAACAAATAACCAGAATCGTAGAAAACTCGTTAACTACTTCGCGGCCCTGTAGTGCTGCGCTCGACACTCCGCGGGATGGTTATAAGACTAAATCAAAGATCTAGGGCTTCATAGCAAACAAAATAATCTAACGAATAACCAGAGCCATAACAAACTCGTTACTCGTTACGAGCTGCGGGCAATGCGGCTGCGACAGCACCCGAGAGGCCGGCTCTACGGGCAGCTCGAGCGCGGGGAACCGACGCTGCAGCAGGTGCGCTGCGCTCGCCAGGCTGGCCGGCGTCACCCCGCTGCATGGACACGCGCCGCACCACTCCGCGGGCTGGTTATAAGACTAAATCAAAGATCGAGGGCTTCATAGTAAAGAAAATAATCATAAGCATACCCAGAGCCATAGTAGCCAGCCAACGTAGAGCTTGCCAAGCTGATAGGCGACACGCGCCGTATCATGCCGAGAGATGGTTATAAATAAGACTAAATTAAAACGTGAAATATAGAGCAAAACGTAGGTTGAAGGAGAATGAAGTAGATATGAGAACCGTTCATTTTCCAGGAGGATTAAAAGGCTAAACGAAAAGCCTATAAAATAAATTAAAGCCTATAAAGGAGAGACAATCAGAGTTTGGAACGAGTGAAATAAAAACACCAATCATCCTGCCCTGGATTATAGTTGTAACGCTACATGCGTAGAACGACGTAGAGCTTATTTAGGCAACAAATAAAGGGGATATGTCGAGAGAGAAGGCGCTAAAACAATAATAAAACCGAAACTACCGATTCAATCATTGAATCTTATTCAAAGGTTTGAATTTCTTAATCTATAAGAATCAGTCTAAAGGCACCTTAAGTGTTAACTTGAGACCACAAGTCGTTGTAGCATTAGTTTCGGACGACACAACCATTAAGTGTATGGATTCGTATAAAATACATAAGTGTGTTTGTCTTGAGGTTGACCTCACAACACAAGTAACTAAAGCAGACATTAGTTATGTTACTTTTAACAGGTCTTGCAGACGTCTGCTGCGACGGCGTGTTGCGACCAAATGCCTTAATATTATGAAAACATAAATATTGATTCGCCTTCTCTTCTCATGAAAGAAAAATGAAAGCCACGCTCTAACACAAACTTCAGAAATTACCCAAGAATAAGAAAGAATTAATATATGCCCTCCACGTAACGCGAGCTTGGCTTCAAAAGAAGAAAAAGTTGGTGTAAGTATTTAAATTAGAAAATAACCAAATGACCCATGATAGTTTGTTATACACAAAGTTTATTTTCCCTGGCTTCATGAAAGGCCTCTAAGGCACAAGTAGTTACCACAAGCATAATTTATACATAGCTATAATATACTAGGTCCGTACATGGACGCATTTTATCAAACACCAATTAGCTAAATAGATATCAACGAAATTTTAAAGTACCTAACTATGTAAGCGATAGTTTAAGTAAATATTTTATATACGACATAATGACTATTGAATTAAAGTGTAAAAGGTGGCTTTTTTAGTTTGTGGTCATATAAGATTTACCAGGATAAAGCGCACAGCCATGAGGTAGAAAACTGGAGAACTGCCACTCTCGAATGTGCTTTTGTCAGTGATCGGTCGAAAATGTGTCAATGTCAAAGTTTAGTTACTTCTTATTGGTTGTCGTTACGTCATTTAGGCACAATTGCGTCTGCTGCCATCTACAATTAGCTTGGAGTTTTAGTCCCCATTATTTTAGACGTTACAGCCACATTGCAAGCAAAACTTAGGGTAGAAGTTACTATCAATTTTAACTTACACTAGGTACACTACCTCACAGTCCATGCGATTCTTACATCATCAATGAGGTAGTTTTGCGGTACAAACGCAAGATTTTACAGGATAAAAGTAATTTATTCTAACTTGGTCACAGAAAGCGTCTTTCTTACACAAAAGGAGAAAACAGACGCTTTCGTTCATATGGTCAACAAGAATTTCTAGTGTAAAGAGATCCCCTCTTTGTTCTTCGTGTGGGACACCGAGTCGTTCAACGACCCGATGAACCCTTAGTACCTTGAAATACTGCTGATAGAACGCTAGAAACTAAAAAAGTCACCATACATGTATAAATGATAACGAGTTACTATGTAGGCGTAATGATGTGTTCCAGAATGTTTTCCAGTACTTAGTTACTCGACCGACGCACACGCAGCTAGTCTAGCATCGGTGTCGATTCTTGAGTTCACAATTTTAGCCTAGCTATTCCTGTCCCTAAATGAAAATAAGAAATTTAAAAATTTCATGCATCGACCGTGGCTCGAACCCAGGCCACATGGCTCAACGTCCCACCACTCTGCCACTGATCTGTCGATGCACCGATCCATGCCTGCCAAATTTCAATCTCTTGATGCTCGTTCCTGACCATTCTTAAAAATTTAAAAGAAAAAAGATAGATGGGAAATCTACTGCTGTGATATGCAAACAAAATCGACGAAATTGAGAGATTACTGACTCGAATTTTGTCTCGTCCGAAACCAGTGTGTTTCCATGAAAACAATACGAAATATTTTAATTTTCCAAATCATCCAAAAAGAAATGTCATTGACTGGTGCAAATGATAATTGCGAAGTAGATTTCCTGTAGTACCAGTTCAATGACAGGAATAGCTAAAAGTTTTCTAAGAAAATGACCCGCAGAATCGACGCCATTATCTCGTAAGAAGGAACAACACTACACAGGGATTTTAACTCAGAAAAGTTATACCTTTCCTAACAGAAACACCCTGATATATACAAGACACTATTAGCTATACTAGTATGTAAGCTTAGATATAGATAGGTAAATAAAGCGATATCAGATAAATATGTTGATTTACATTTTGATAGGAGAAAGCAATCATATTGTTGCATATAACAATTATTTACTTACTACAAAATATATATTTACCGTAATAATTTTATCACATGTGAGTATGGGAAAGAATCTTTGAATCCTATAACGAAATCTATATAACAGTGAAGGTATAAAACGTTCTAGATCAAAAAATACATAATTGGTCGGGTCGACAATTTGGTGTATGTTTGTATTTCAGTACATTTAATGAATTTTTAGGAATTGAAGGAGATTCTTCCCTGTACATAATTGCCTTAAGTCACAGGTTGAGTGGCAAATTTATTAGAAAGTACATTATTTACTCTACGTATGATTTTACTATGTATGATTTTTATTAGTTACCAAGTTAACAAAGACCTTTCCAAACATGGGCACAAATATAGCACAAACTGTATTCTCGTACGTACAAACAAATGTACCTACTTTTTTACTTATTAAAAATGTTCTGCCGAAACGAAATGTTATATTATATTAGTTGGCCTAGTCATATTATTATTGTTTTTAAACTTTGTGAGTTAGCTACAAATTTATTTTTAAAAAAGTGTGAGCACTTGCTCCATAGATACCCACGTCAAATGTATGAGAAGTTATCAAGGTTCAATAGTGTTGCCTCTGGCGTTTTGTTACTGATAGACAGAGAGGTTGTGTGCTTACTACTGCCAACCGTTCTAACTTTGGCGCACTCTATAGCTTGCTTATACATTGTGTTACCGAAAAGCGGGCATTTTTTCAAACTGGAGAATCTAGCCATCTATACGAACAATTTTCATGAAGGGGCCATCTGTGAAATCACGAACATTGTTCCGTACATTTTTAGGTATTAGAATTTCCTATGGAACAGCTTATTTTTCGTGATTTCACAGATGGCCCCTTTGAAAAAAATGTTCGTATAGATGCGTAGATTCGCAAGCTTTAATAAATGAATTCTTGGTAACACACTGTTTTATACTCTTTTAGGTTTTTTGTAATAATTTAGTGGCGTGACTCAGCCCTGTGACCCAGGCCGCTCCGGCTACATGGTCACACACAACCCAGTCCAGAACCGACTTGTATCGTCCCATTCGAGCTGAGTGTGCTAAGTGTTATGTGTACTTGTAATCGCGCCTGCAATGCAATAAGGGGTAACCACAGAGCGAAATTAATGTATTAGTCACGTGAAAGAAGAACCAAACTGTATATGGCGGCAGGATATCATTCTCTCGCGCTTTAACATACATATTTCTATACTCGTATAACGCGGTAAAACAAGCTAAAAAATATATTTTTGTTGTAATTGGTGTGACTTTGTTGGAAACGCAGTCATTATGTGTTTTAATGAAGAAATCTGTTATTGGATGTTAAAAACTGAAAGAAAAATTGAATGTGAGTGGGGCAAAGTTCTGCGAAGTGATACCCGAAAAAAAACTTTTGCTGCTACTACTGGAAGAAAAGGTCGCCATTTACAGTTTGATTCTTTAAACGCGGAAGGCGGGTTGATATAGACAATGTATGAAGTAACCAGAGTAATCTGACCTGCAGTCACATCTCAAGAACGTGAGGTCAAATATACTGCGTGGTGTAAACATACTTTGAATATCAACCAACTTATCTTGTCTCTAATATAAGCTCGTAAATGCTCTGAAAGTTAAAGTTCTAGTCACAATTTCTAGTCAATGTATGAGCCTAACATAATAATACGGCCTATAATACTCAGTTACAATACTCACGCGTTAAGTTGGTTGAAGCGACCTAGTCTAGATAATTATAACCATATTTTATCTACACTCATTTCGTAATAATCGTTTTACAGAATCGAAAGTACGAACGTAATGAACTGCATTACAAATATACAGCCTTTAAAAAAAAACTTTCATACTACTGGCAGCTACATAAAGTAACTCGATTTCTAGTAGTTGAAAAAAAATTAAACGAATAGACCCGCGTACCAAATTGTAATCTGTTCCAATTTGATACTGGCCAACAAAAAGTCAAATGAAAAAAAATCAAGTGTCACCCGGGCGGGGACGACCATGGGACGACACTTGAAATTATGAGGACTTATTTATTATTAAATCTTTGCTTCAAATCATTTTTCGAATTAAAATTCACCGATAAATGCTTTTTAATTTTAAAAGTTGTTCAGTTTTTATGAGCCTCCATTTTAATGTTTAGTTAAAAAGTTACTTATGTACAAAAGTCGTTCAGTTGGTGGTTCAGTAGATAGGCTTGCAATCGCCATAGTGCAGTGCGGAGGTTTGAATTATTTTTCATAGTTTTTCTTGTAGAGTGTAGATAAAATAGTGTATGCAACTGCAAATAATTAGGCTTTAGAATGCTCGTGTCAAACTATTATCACACTCGACTGCGCCTCGTGTGATAAACAGACACTCTCATCCTAAAGCCTCTCATTAGGCAGTTGCATAAACTACTATTATATTCTGTGCCATAACGTAAAATTCTGCTTTCGCTGTGCAAAAGAAAGTTGACCTTAGGTAAACGAATATTTCAGGCAAGTTCTCTTGGGCGTTTTAACCTAAATATTTGTTAAATTTTTAAAACAAGTTTTAGCATAAACATAATGTAATTAAATTATTTTACGGCTTGGGTCTCTGTATCCAATGCACTCGCAATGCTATATTATTTAGAAATGAAAATGAGAAATTGAAAAAATTTTATAATAATAATAATCATTTATTTGCATTGACCGGGGCTCGAACCTTGGTCGAAGCATGTAATTTTCTCAATTTCTTATTTACCTGTAACCATTCATAGTATACCGTAAAATAGCTATGATTAAAGCATTGCAGGCGCGACCGTTTACCAGTGGGATGTGTAACTAGTAATAATCAGAGGCCTTGTCGTTTGTGTTGACTTGCCGTCAGGCAATCGATTCTATTTTGTAAAGATTGTTATTTAATTATACATTATATTTGTATATAATGGTGCGAACTTTAATAAAAATAAGCACTACGTGTATTGTAGTTTCATTTTTACCCGCGACGGAACAGTGACGACGGTAGGTAGGTATCATCATCTTCCTGCCCTTATCCCAATTACTTGGGGTCGGCGCAACACGTTTTGTTAAACACTTAATAGTGTTGCAAAGGATTTGGCTTGATTTTACGACCGGCCGCCTACCAGACGTCAACCCTCCTTGGGAATGCTTTTGTGGTGGATTAACCGCCACCATACGGTTGGCCCTGGCTGATTGGGTCGGGTTTAACCTCGGTCGCCTCTTACGACCCCCACGGGAAGAGAGAGGGTGGTGCTATTCTACTCTGCCGGCACCACACGGCTTTAACGACGGTAGGTATATAAGGTGTAAAAAAACAACTGCAATTGTTTAATTAAAGGGATGAACCTGCCCACAAAACTAAACAACTTTCCTCAAGGAACAATAGGTCGAAATATAATATATTAATATTTGGACCTCCCATATAAATTGACTCGGTCAGATGGTATTAAGTAAGCTGTTTTTTTTGAAATATTTCGATCTATTGTTATGGGGAAGTTGTTCAGTTTCATGAGCTGGTTCACGCCTTAAAATATTTGCAGTTGATTTTTTTACACCTGGATGCGTTTGGGGCTTGGGATGAGAGAGTTTGTGCGTCGGTGCAAACTAATGTTACCGATTATCTCCGTAACCACTAGTCCTATTTTAAAGCGGTTTTCAGTGATAGATTCGGATTTCACTGGTGCATGTTCTTAGACAGGTATTACGCGACATTATGCCAGTGGCGCTGCAGTAAACATTTGTTTGTGCAAACCAATGTTACCAATTATCTTCAAAACCAATGATAGATGTAGATTTGACTGGGGCATGTTCTCAGGTGTTACGCGAACAACTCACCATGGGGTGCTGCAGTAAACTGTCGTGTCGTGGGCTTTTCAAAATTTAAATTGTGTTTTCAAATCTGTGTATAAATAGTTAGGTAAGTAAGTAGTTGAATTTTGCAATAAACTATTTTGATTATAGTATGTCATAACTTCCAGCGTATTTACAATTGAAAAAAAAAAAACAATATTATTGTTACGATATTTATTTTCTAGTCAACTATTTTATGGTGAACTTATTACTGAGTGATAAAATTGCATAAAAACCAGAAATAAATTACACAATAATTATTGAGATTTAAATACTAAGAACCTCCCTTACTTAAAGCTTTGTTTATGTGATGTAATGAAGGGTTCCCCATTGTGTTTCCTAATATTTTTAATCCTAAATTTGATTGTCTTTGGCATCATAATACTAACTATAGATTGTCCTAATGCTCTATCATCCTTATTTCAATGTTCCTATTTTTATCATCTTAGTTGCAAAGAAATTATTAACAACAAGTGAAGTATCAAATAGCAAATTAAAGCTAATATAGAAGTAAAAAGTTTAATAGGAATTCATAGCAGTAATTTCTACTGCAGGCATGTGAACTAAGACATAGTAAGCCTTAATAGTATTCCAAAGAGCTAACCAGAATTTTTATTACAATAAACCTACACCGAGAC